GATCTGGGACGGCTAAGTACATGTACAACGTCTCCCTAGGTAAAGGACTGAACAACCTAGATAGAGAATGTAAATGCTCTTTCAACCTCTGGAATGCCGCCTCAGCATCCTCCCCCCATTCAAATCTGGTCTTCTTCCTGATTGCTTGGAAGAAGTAGAGGCACTTGTCGCCTGACCGACTGAGGAATCTCCCCAAGGCAGCCAGACAGCCGGTGAGCCTCTGCACTTCCTTGACAGAACGGGGTGACTTCATGTCTATCACCGCCTGTATCTTTTCAGGGTTAGCCTCTATCCCCCTTTGATCAATCAGGAATCCGAGAAACTTCCTAGACTCAACACCAAAGACGCATTTCTTAGGATTTAACATAACCTTGTGCCGCCTGAGGGTGGTGAATGTTTCTCGGAGATCAGCAAGGTGATCCGTCTGGAGCTTGGATTTGACTATCATATCGTCAATGTACGCCTCCACATTCCTCCCAATCTGATTAATGAAGACCGTATTAATCATCCGTTGGAAAGTGGCAGGCGCATTTTTCAAGCCAAACGGCATCACAGTATAACAGAATAACCCCTGATCAGTGACGAAGGTCGTCTTCACTTGATCTTTCTTCCACAGGGGTATCTGATGGAAGCCGGAGTAGGCATCCATGAAGCTCATCAAGGCGTGAATGGCTGTAGAATCGACCAGACTGTCGATCTTTGGAAGCGGGTAACTGTCCTTTAGACACGCCTTGTTGAGGTCTGTGTAATCAACACACATGCGCCAGGTCCCATTCGGTTTCTTAACAAGGACCACATTGGCCACCCAGTCGGGAAAATTACAAGGCTGGATGAACCTGGCGTCTAGCAGCTTTTTGACTTCGGCAGTTGCCGCCTGACTTCTTTCCTCACCGTGGTTTCTTTTCTTTTGCCGGATGGGCTTCTTTTTAGGATCCACGGTGAGCTTGTGGACAACAAGATCCGGGCTGACGCCTGGCATCTCTTCCACTTCAAAGGCAATGTCTTTGAATTCCTTCAACAGAAGGTGCAAGTCTGCACCCAAAGTAGCATGAGCAACCGTCCCAACCTTTACAGTACGTTATGGATGGCTGTCATCCAGAACGAGATCAATGTTTTCACCAGCCGGTTGTGGACGGAGCTCATCTGACCGTTCACCGGTCAGTGATTGCTATTTTTTCTCCTTCTTCACCTCCACCAGCAGAGGTGCCTTTCTTTTCTTTTCGGCTGTTGGTGGGGCAGGTGCTGGATCGGCATCCTTGACATTGTCAAGGTCAATTGGTTCATGACCGCCTGGGGCCACAGTGTCCCTGACGGCTGAGAGATAGCACTCCCGGGCCGTCTTCTAATCCCCATTCGAGGAACCAACAGAGTCGTCATCCCTCTCATATTTGATGAGCATCAGAGACGGGATAATTACTGCCTTGGCTACGTTGAGGGTTGGCCGGCCAAGGATAATGTTGTAGGCGGTCAACTCCTCAACGACCAAGAATCTAACGACAATATGTCCTCCCTGGCCTTTCTCTCCCAGCCGGATGGGCAAGTCAATTCTTCCGGCTGGGTAGACCATCCCACCCCCAAAACCAACCAAGGGGTGGGTGACCGGATGCATGCTGCTGACATTGTATTTCAGCTTTTGCAGGCATCGGAGGCTGATGATGTCTGATGAGCTTCCGATGTCAATAAGGATCCGTCCAATCAGCTGGTTGGCAACCTTACATTCAATGACAACCGGGTCATCATGCGGACGGCGGACGCTGCCCCTATCCTTCTCAGTAATCAAGACGTCTGGGAAGGAGGTGCTTGCAGACGCCTGCTCATCATCATCCTTGTCCATCTTTCGAAGATGGCTCTTGGTGCCCCGGATGGTAGGGCCACCACAGGAGAACCCGCCTTCTATTGTGTAGACCGGCTCCTTGTCGGTATCCGAGCTACTAGCAGGCTGGGGGGTAGTCTTAGAGGACTGACCCTTATTCTTCTTCTTTGCCCCGGCTGGGGACTTAGAAATATAGGACTTCAGCATTCCTTTGTCAGCCAGACGGCCAACGCCCTTTGAAGGCTGAAACAGTCGTTGGTGTCATGGCCAACTTCCTCATGGTATTGGCAAAATTTATTTTTGTTCCTTGATTGAATGGAACTTTTCATTGGATTCGGCTTCTCTAGGGATAGCCGGTCCTTAATTTCCATGAGGATGGAATTGCAGTCCTTGTTAAACTCGTACTTGGGGACGTACGGTTTAAACTCTTTCTTTTTCTTCTGAGACGGCTGGTCAGAATCATTAACCGCCCAGATTTCTTTTCTCGTTTTGCTCTCTTCTTTCTTTTTAGCCGACTGAGCAGGCCAGTTGTCTTTCTGCTTGTCGGACTTTTTAGAGTCCGACTGGCTACCAGGCGAGCAGAGGTCGGTAGCTTGAATGTAGCTTTCCGCCTCCCTCAGGGACGCCTGTAGGGTGAAAGACCCTTTTCTGACTAAGTCAAACTTAAAGGTCGACCCGTCTCTCAGACCTTTGAAAAAGTCTGTAAAAGCTACCTCATCAGACAGTCCTTGAATCTGAATTCTGATAAGATTGAACCACCTGACATATGAGCGTAACCCTTCTCTCTCTCCCTGCTTAACAGTGCTCAAATCAAGGCTTGTTTTCTTAGCGGGGATGTTCATTGAGAAGTTAGAAGCAAACAGGAAGGCTAGCTTCCTGAAGCTATCGATGGACCCGGCTGGCAGATTACCAAACCATTGTTAGGCAATGCCCTTCAATGTAGCCGGGAAACATCGACACAAAGTGGCATCATCCAACCCCTGCAGATACACGAGGTTGGTGTAAGCCATGAGGTGGTCTTTCGGATTGGTGGTACCATCATAGGTACCAACCAATACATTCTTAACCTTGGCCGGCTGGGCCGCCTCGGTTATCTCCCGGGTGAATGCAGAAGGTTGTTCACCCAGGCGCAGCAGACGAAGCTGCCAGTCCAATGGCTGGACATTTGGATATGCCGCCTGACCTCCAAAGAAGGCCGGCTGCATGAAGTGAGGAGGATACTTTCCGTAAGCCTGAGTAGGCACATACGGTACAACTCCAATCATGTGAGGGCCAGAATGGACGGTATTACCGCCTGTCTGGCTCTCATGCAAGGAGGGTGCACTCCCTGCAGAAATATTGTTGAAGCTGTCTGAAAAGTTCGACGTTGAAGCCGACTCAGACAGCGATCGGCTGCTGAGTCCGGCGAGTGTTATTGGTGTTCTTCCCAGGAAGGAGAATTTTTTACCAATCAATGGTCCCGGCTGCCTTCTCCTTTGGATGAGGAGTGGGCTGCCGATCTTTGACTGACTTCCCCTTTTCCAGAGGAGTCTTCTTGGCCGACTGACCTCTACTTGGGCCAGCCTGACTCTGGGTGATCAGCTCTTTAATTTCACCCTTGAAACTTGTCATGAATCTCATGAGCTCGTCTCGGGTGACAGGCGCTGATCTAGCTGCCGCATGGGTTTCCCCTTCCGGCTGCCCAGGGGGTCTATTTGCACCCGCCTGGGAGGCACCCCGCTCCAGAGTCTCTCTGGGCCGGATGCGCTTGATTCTGAGAGAGTCGTCTTCGGCTGTAAAGGTTTCAACCTGAGGATATTCATCCTCCTGGTCTGTAAAGACCTCTGGGTCTTCGCCCAGACGGTTAGGAGGTGGTACAGACTCTTGAACCATCTTCGAGGTACTCTCCCCACATACGGCGCCAAATGTTTTGGGTGTTTTTGTCCCTCGGGAGAGTTACAACACGAAGACTGATCCGGGGTGAGATGTACCTGCAAAACAAACGGAGACACCAGTTAGGTGGTGCTCCGCCTCCGACGCACAAGTTAGAAACTTGAAGGGAGAAAAAGGTGCGGAAGTTTAGGTAGGGATCTGCTCGGATTCCAAGCTCAGGATGTCTCTATCAAAGAGTAAATGTGTAATAAATGATAAAACGTGCCCTCAAAAAGAGGGATATCTCCCTATTTATAGGGTCTTTGGGATTTGTGCCCCTGATTAGGTCACTGTACCCTAATCAGTGGTGGGTTGCGCCGCTTTGCGGCTTTCTCGGGATTTGGGCCTGAAGGTCGACTTTTTTCCCTTGTTTTCTAGAGTGACACGTGTCAAGCAGAGATTGGTCCACTTTGGGCCATCCTGAGACTGACACGTGTCATCCTCTGATTGGACCACGTTGCGGGGTAAAATTACCCTAAACAAGTTTAATTATGCGTGTTGATTAATTGTAATTTGTTATGGAGAATTAAGTGAAAATATAGTTAATTATGTTTTTGTTTATTCGCACTTGTTGAATATTTCGGATTTTTGAGGATTGTCGATTTAATTGTTTGGTTAATTATGCTTCAAGATCTCAGTAACAGAGCAGTTTTTATAGATTACCTATGTTAGACACTGATTTTGTGTACTACTACTTTATAGGGGGTTAGTTTACTGATTTTTGGCATAATTTGGTTGATCAATGTTCTTGATGCTGTATATATATAGGTTTATTGGATCTTTGTTGATAATGGGAAATTGTTAATGGCATGTGGCCATGGAGACATCATGTGATTGGGAAGATGGTAATTGGGGACTTTTTAATATACAATTTTCAACTCAGACCTGAATTGTTTATTTCAATTACCTGCAGACCTTTTTGATGTTAACTATTGCTAGTGTTGGTGTATCATGAGTAGGAAGGTTGGGTGTAATTAGTTAATGTTAAGGGCTGTACATGTTGTGTGATTGGTTTCATTTTGTTGTTGAATGTTAATCTCTATTGCAGAGTTTAGTATTACTGGTATTCCCTATTACCATGGCTGAAGAGGAAGTTAACATGAATGATTTAAGTTTCTGTGATCAAACGTTGTATATGGTTGTAGTTAATGAAACTCCTCCTCAATCTCCCGATCAAGATGGGATGTCCTTGAATTGCTTATCTCCTTATGTCCAACTCTCTAATTCTAGCAAGGATGCCATTACCATGACTACTCTCTAATTCGATCAAGATGGGATGTTCTTTCATGCACATCGGCTAGACCAAGAAGGTCGTCTTAAGGATGTTTTATGGGTAGATGCACGGAGCCGGGTGGCCTATCAGGAATTTGGTGATGTTGTGTGCTTTGATGCAACATATTTAACCAATGAATATGAGTTGCCCTTTGCAAATTTTGTAGGGGTAAATCACCATGGACAATCAATACTTTTGGGGTGTGCTCTTGTGTCTCATGAAACCACGGAAACCTACTTTTGGGTTTTTGAGCAATGGCTATCTTGTATGGGAAACATAGCTCCTGGTGCTATCTTGATCGATCAAGCTGCTGCAATGAGAAAGCCCATTGCTCAGTTGATGCCTTCAACTCGTCATAGGTGGTGCATCTGGCACATTATGCGGAAGATACCGGAGAAGTTGGGCAAATGCAAACAGTAAGGGGCTAAATTCTAACTCAAATGCTTTTTGCTACATTAACTGTGTTGTGTTATGTACTCTAAATTAGTAAATGATAGATATGTGTTAATGTTGTTGTGTTATCAATTTGAATTCTTATTTGTTTATGCAGTAACTGTCCTGTCATGAAATTGTGTTCTTTTATTGGTTACCCCCCTGACATTACAAAAATTCCCTCTCCCTTCATACTCTGTGGTTGTGCTAATCATAATCATATGCTGGGAATTGATGACATCTTAATCATAATCATAATCATATGCATTATAGGCAATCAAAGCAACCCTAACTTAATTCAAAAAAAGACTTTACTAACATATTGGCTGGTCAGGGTTACTTATCAAACATCTAATGCATACATACAAATTTCATTTGTCAAGCATCTGTCTAATACATTTCAGCTTCTCATACATAAAACTAACTACATCCAAGAAACCTAATCCTACCAATTCAGCTCAAAATTCCAGATACTACTGCTCCACCTAGGAACAGAGTCACCATTAGCTCACTGTTAGTGTGTACTGTTTTTTTAAAGGGAGACCTAGTGAAGTTGATTTTGTCATATGTGAATTTCATTTGGTGATATGTTACATTGTCTTAATGTTGTATGACCTATTCCTTGTCATAATTTTGTGTGGGCTGGTTGCAAATACATGTTGAAGTGGTCACAAGCTGTGTTATTTGACCTAGTATTTTGTGGTTGGATGTTTGTCTAATTATGTTTTGATGGTGTCATGTGTACTTGTTTTGTCTTGGTTAAAGCTATGCTGATTTTAAGAGCCCTTTGAAGACTGTAGTATATGAGAGCTTTACAGTGGAGGAGTTTGAGTTCAGACGGAATGCACTCATCAAAAAGTACTCATTGGAGGACAATGATTGGCTATGTGATCTTTTTGATGAAATACACATGTGGGTTCCAGCCTTTATGAAGGAGCATTTTTGGGCCGGAATGAAGACCACACAGCGTGTGGAAAGTATTAATAGTTTCTTTGATGGCTTCGTAGATAGACAGACAAAGCTTCACGAATTCCCGGAGAAATATACAAGGGCAATGAAGAAGCGTGTCCAATCTGAAGTGGCTGTTGATGCCAGGTGTGGTAAATATGTTCGTAGGCTAGTTAGTGGGTTTAGAGTGGAGAAGTTGTTTCAGAAAATCTACACGGATGCTAAATTTCAGGAAGTCCAGAAAGAGTGTGCCAGAATGGGGTATTGCTATCCGAAGGTCAGGCGTGAACTTGAAAATGATAAGACGGAGTACGTACTTGAAGACAGGGTGTGGATAATACCCGAAGGCAAGAGTGAGGATGTTATAACAGATAGGAGAATTTGGGTACGAGTTGTTTTTGATCAGATAACAAAAGATGTTTCTTGCGATTGTAGGAAATTTGAGACCTTTGGGATATTGTGCAAGCACGTAATTCGGGTATTTGAGGATAATTTGTTGTTGGACATACCTAAAAAATACATCCTTGACAGGTGGAGGAAGGATGTCCCTCGAAAACATACTCGAGTTAAAGTTGCCTACCATGATCCCGGTGATACACCTCAAGTCCAACACTATCGTAGAATGATGAGGGAATTTGAAGGAATATGTGATGAGGCGTCTGCTGTTGATGATATTGATACGGTCGATATGGTTATTTCTAGCTTGAAAGAGCTCCGTTTAAACGTTAAAGAGAGTCGGAAAAAATTCATTGTCAAACAAGCAGTACTACCGACAATGCCTGCAAATGAAGTGCCCCCTTCTGAAATCGGTTCAAACAGCTCCCCTACACAGCTTCATACTCCCTCCTCAGTTGCAAATGACTTCCCCAAAGTTGCAAACGTTAAGGATCCTATCCACCGCAAGAAGCCTCGGGGCAGACCTAAGACTACTAGGTATAAGAGCTCAGCCGAAAAAGGTTACAAAATCCAGAAACCAAGTGCAGCTGCAAAGAAAACACAGCAGGTCAGATGAAAATCAGACATCGACCTTTTTATGTCCTTTTGTTTATTCCCAGATGCAATTGGCTTTGAATGATAGAGCAAGTGCAATTTGCCCAGATGCAATCGAAACGCTGCTGTACCATGTATTATCTACATCACATTATGGTCATTGTATGGATTATTGTATGTTGGATCCATATTTCATCCATTTGGAAATATGTCTAGTATTAGTGAACTGCTCGTGATAAGCACAACCCTTTTGTTGGATCATGTTGTACATGATGATACTGAAAAGAGGTCGTTTTAATGTGCTTACGTATGATGAAGGAGCTCATGATTTACTATAGAATAGCATATAATTGTTTTGATCCAGCAGATTGTTATGCTGTATGATACTGATGACATATGAAAACCTTGCATTATATTCTAACTTTGCAATCTTTTTGTGCAGAGGCCCAACATTCAAGCTATCTTGATCTAGCCCATAGTTGGGCTGATTTTCTGTGCCCGTTCAAAGTTTCTTTATGTGATTAACTATTACTTAGAACTTTATGTGATTAACTATTACTTAGAACTTTTATTTTCACAAAATTTTTTAACATAAACTTTTTAACATAAACTTTTGCATGAATTTTTATAACTTAGTTTCGTTTTCAGATCTAGCCCAATCCAACCTTTCTTTTCCTTATTATTACCAAACACAAACATCAACGCTGGAGGCCCATTTCCCTTGTGGCCCAACTATTTCTAATTTGACCCCCCTTCAAGTGTTGAGTCATAAACGGATATAATTTATATTTTAAAGTCTGTTGAAGGGGTGCATATGATGCGTTAGGGGTAGCTTAATGAGTTAGGGGTAGCTTGACTTGATTGGATGACAAATCGAGTCGATCTATGACTTTGTCGAGTTTTGACCGAGCTTTGTTCGAGTCTAAATGTGACTGCATTTGACCAAGTCGAGCTTTTACCGAGTCGATTTCGCGTACCTTGCAATTTGATTGTTCGTAGTAAAACTCACGATTAGCTGTAAAATACCGTCATTCCCTTTAATTTTCATAATTAAATAAATTTTTTTTTATTTTTATTTAATTAAAATATATATAATGTAGTATATATATAATTTTATGATAGAATTCGTGCTTCGTAAGAGCTTTCTAGTCGAGTACTAATCAACTACAATTGACTCGTTAACATTTTCGAGTCAACCTCGAGTTCTAGTCCAGCTACATCAAGTCGAGGTTTGACCAAATCGAACTCAAGTTACTGGCATTTTTCATATTTCATTTTTCGGGTTTTCCTTTTTACTATTTTCGGGTTTTTAACTTGTCATATAAGTATTTTTCTAATCCACTAGAACAAGCTACTTACATACTCAACATAACAAAGTACACAGTGATGCCATCTTTACTAGTTTTTACTACTTCACACATAATTTCTAGACGGCCTCATAGGGCCTTGCTCTAGCTACATACAATCCCTATTTTTCACTTCTAATGCAAGGCAGAGAAGCATTCATTACTACACTAAAACACCACTTGAATTAGTACACATTAAAGCATATCCCCATGCCTGAGCCCAACATACTTTGCGATGGCACTTGGCGAGATTACACCTCCTGTTCTCATATTTGTCAACACCATGTCCTTCACCCGACAATCAACCTTTTCAGCATAATCCTTGTAGTGTCCTTGAAGCTCTGGTTGCCCTTAATAGCATACATCACACCTAGATCATCTGGTGTGTTGCTAGAAACAACCACGTAGTGCACAGACCCTATAGTGAAGGGCTTTTGTTTTGGTCCATCGTCGAGGCTAATCGCATCAACGGTGGCTTGCTCTTTGTTATCTAAGTCAGCTTCAGTTGGGATGCCATCAACATCAATGATAACATTACCTTTGGGCTGGCTTATGATCTGGTCAGAAAACTCACTGTGAATTGAGTCAAAGGCATTCTTCCTGAGAGTGAAGGTTAGCATGGGTGATGTTTCTGATTTTCAATGTGTTTGACCATCTACAGTTGGGTTGTTTTGAAAGAGAGCGAGTTTGCATACGTGTGTTAGTTTTCATAGTTATGTTAGTTTAGTGTGAAGAAGAAGGATTGGCTGTAGGACAATTGAGTGAGAAGTGGATATTACTTATGACTTATGAGCTCTGTATTACTTATATAGCAGGTGAACTAGCATCACACTAGGGTTTCTTCGTCTTGTATGAGTAAGAAACAATTATTTTTTGTATCATTTGTACACAATGCTCAAAGTTTTATAATATAAAATTGTATTTTGCTCTATAAGATAGATGACGGAAAATCTTAAAACCCACCAATACAAAAATATTTTATTCCAGTACTTATATGTTTATTAAAAAAATAAATTCTTATTTCACATTTAACAAAAAGACGGGTATCTCATAAAATTTTAAATTATTTTATTCATCTGGTGTACGATGAAAACAAGAATACACTTTAATTAATGAAACCTATAATAGTTGTATTCACGCTTTATAACACTTTATAGTGTTACAAGTTTACAACCTAGCTATTCAAAACAAGCGAGCCTATGCTTGATTGGATTTTACAAATTCACGTCCCCATTGTATTGCATTTTTTTTGCATCGAAAAACCCTATTAACCTTTCGCTTAATAGTGTCACAATATCAATTTATACATTATAGGGTAGGACGTTAAAGATCTTGGTTATCTAGCCATGTCATTCTATTATTGTTATCGGTACATTAAAAAGTATGAAAATTAAAGACAAAACCGGGTTCACGTATTATAGTTTCATTTAAGCATTATTAAAATTCCCACTACATTTTTCCTAAACGTGACCATATGATCATATATGAACCGTTAACTTCTTTTATTAAGCACATCAACACAACATTACTTTGGACCAGGAAAAATAACGAGATAATTTATGTTCTCACTTTAAATAACAATAATAATAAAAAAAAAAATCAGCATGAATCCAAAAGGGTTGAATTGGGTTGATTACTTTGGTCACTCTTAAACCACTGACTTATATTCATATGAGGTACGCATCTTTACCAAGATTCATGCATTAGAAGAAGCATACTTTACCAAGAAATCAGATTTGCTTACCCACCCTAGTGGTTACATTAAAATATGTGAAGCAATGCGTCCAATGCTCTAAACATGATCTTGATGTATTTGTACCCTTCCAACTGTGTATTCCAATGCATAAATTTAGATGCCCAAAGTGGATGTCAACTCCTATAACAGTCCTACAAGCAGACCTAAAAAGGTATTGCTACTTACATGATAGCTTTATTTGTAGGAGCTTGAAAGTATATGGTTATTATATTATGTACTTTTTTTTTTCGAAGGAGATTAATGATTTTCTTACCATGTTATGATTTTACTACTCGTTCTATACTTTTAGTGGTTGAAATTTTATTATTGTAATATCATTCTTATAATCACATTTGACCTACTCTTAATTAGCGACGTTTTTAAATTCGGGTTTTCGAATTGTAATATCATTTAGGATTGGATCCGATTAGATTTGTTGAGTAATTTGAGGATTGAAACCGAAATTTATTTCTGATCGTATTGGCATTGGGTCAGATCCAAACCGAACACCGAATGGACACCCCTAGGATAACCTAACGAGACGGTACACTAGGAACAACCTGCTTAACCCTAACTAGAGGTGTCAATTCGGATAACCGGATGGAGTTTGGGTCGGTTCTGTTAGGGTCAGCTCTGCTCGGGTCGGATATGTTCGGATCAAAATTATCCTTTTAACTCGGATTGGGCCGGATCGGGTCAAATTCGGGTCGGGTCAAAGTCGGGCCATGATTTATCGAGTCCGGGTCGGATATGGGTCGGGTCAACTACAGATCGATTCACTTTCGGTTCGGATAAATTTGGATCGGGTTTAAAACGGGTTCAATCTGATAACACTTCGGCTGGAAGAATTTGGGGCGGGTTAATTTTGGTTCGGATGATTTTGGTTCACTCAAGTTTGGTTTGATTAAGATAAGGTTGATCCGTTGTTTCATTAAATGGTCAGTTTCGATTCAATTCCTTTTTGTGTTTAGCTCAATTCAATTCCTTTTTGTGTTCGAGCTGACCAAATTCATATCCAAATAAGGTTATTTTTAATATAGAGATATTAATGAGTTTTTACCTTATTATTGATTCAATATGATTATTAATTATGAAGCACGAAGTTTTAGTTTTCGCATTTGATCAAGTTACATATAATTTTAATCTTAAAGGAAAATTGAGATTGAATAAATATCGATAACTTATCATACCTATATAAGTGAGACCATGCTAGTGGTTGATGAGTAATAATAGTTACATATGGTGATGTATACAAAATAGAATATCAATTTGTTAAGGTTACAACTCTTCATCAATTGTACAATCTTGCGAGGTTATGAGTTCTGTACTATTAGTTTAGTTTATTATTAATTCAATTTGTATAAGATATTTGTTAGAGTTGTTAGATTTACTTTATTACTAATTCAATTTTTATATTAAAAACTTGACATTATACATGGTGATAGTTAATTGTTACTATGTACATTCTTTTTATTTGAGCATAAATTATTGCATATGTATGTAGTGTGTATATAACCGTACGATGTATAATGCCTATAATTCTAGGATAATGCACAGTTGTAGAGGAAGTAGTAATGGTCAGATTGTCTCACGTGATGGGTTTGTAGTAAACTTAAAACTTCAGATTATTTCTTTGTAGTTAAAAAGTTAACTTATTAATAATTAGTAAAAATATAGTATAAGAACTTGAATAAAAAGGTCAATAATCAATCATGGTCGGGTTAAATTCAGATCGGGTAAAATCAAATCGAGTTAAAATCGGGTCGGGTTTGAGTTCAGGTCGGGTCAAAACAAATCGGACCTGATCGGTTATTTGTCGGGTCAATTTCGGATCGGGTTGAGCTTGGGTCGGGTCAAATCGGTTCGGTTTGAGTTCAGGTCGGGTCAAATCGGAGTCGGGTTGAGTTCAGTTTCGATTACAGTTCGGGTTTGTTTGGGTCTTGAAATTCTCGGATCAAATTGGATCGGTTACAGTTCGAAACGGATAATTTTGTTCGGGTCGATTAGGGTTTGACACCCCTAACCATAACTAGTGATGGAAACACGGATTTATTATTACTTAATAAGTATCATTAACTTCCCACTATTACATTATTATAAGATATTACTCCTACTTACAAATTAAGATAAAAAATATTTAATATGAAACAATATGTAAATAAATATATCATACTAAATAATATATATAGAAAAACATATGCACCACTAATAAAAATAACTATGACCTACGTTTGAAATTGTTCAATAGAAAACTATTTAAATATAACACAAAATCTGAGTGGTAGGACAATAAAAAATTTCTGTTACATAAATTAATAATTTATTCTACAAGATTAAACAAAAAAAATAATCTAAAAACAAACTAGGAAATGACACGTGTCATTGCTATTG